TAGGTATAGCTTGAAAAGGGTAAATAATACTAAAATCCTTAACTGCCTTATGAATATTAGTTTCCCTTGCCTACTATTGTAAAATGTTGGGGAACATGATTAGAGAAAACTTGTAAGCCCGCCTTCAGCCTATAACTGATTGGAATACCTAAAAGGGATTCTACAACTTGCCCAGTGAAATAGGCCTCATACAAAGCCTTTTACAGAGTATCGGACCTTAGGTGGAATCCTAAGTCCCATCCACAACCTTGTGAAGTGAGACATTCCCACTAGAAAGGACAAGCTGACTGGAACAGCTACAGTGACAGAAGAACATCTTCATGATGAACCTGACCTCTACTCAGAGCCGTAGTTACTCTAAATACCAACAGAGAGGGAAAAAGTCTTCAAATCAAGTATCAATGCTATCCCCTCTGAACCCAGGGTAGATAGGGATGGGCAACATTCTTCAAATCAAGTATCAATGCTATCCCTTCTGAACCCAGGGTAGATAGGGATGGGCAACATTAGCTACCTAAAATGAGGGGGCAATAAAGGCATGAAGTGACTGACTTACAAAACTTCAAGAGGGAGTTTAGTTTAAGAGTATGGGGGGAAAGAAAGAGTCCCCACTGAATAGCTGTCATCTTGTCTAGATGGGTCTGATGTAAAGGGATGGGGATAAGATTCATAAGATTCAGTGGTGAATAACTATTATCATGACTAATCGCGACTGTCACAATTGTAAAGGTAGAAGTTTTATAACAAAAAAGGGGAGTGGTTAATCTTACAGTCCAGAAACAGACAACCTAGGACCATCAAGAGAGGAACGCACAAGCAGAATGCGGGACCTAATCCAGAGAAGCAGCAGAGCCAGAGATGGAGGCAGAGATGGGGGCATGGAGAGGGGGAGCAGCTGAGGACTCTAGATTCATGGACTAGGAAGAGAAGGACTAAGAACTGGTGGCCAGGAGCAGACTTGCAGAATGTGCCCTTTGGAGATATAAATTATTATATATGACTGAGTGGTGGTTTTTTTTATTATTATTATTTGTTTGTGTGTTTTTTAAAAAGCTAAAGTGGATAGAGAGAAATACTGTTAACTGATGGTACATTGTTGTTGTTGTTAAGTGCCATCGAGTCAGTTCCTACCCATAGCGACCCTATACAGAGTTTCCGAGGGTGTAAATCTTTAAGAGAGTAGAAAGCCTCATCTTTTTCCCGCGGAGCGGCTGGTAGTTTCGAACCGCTGACCTTAAGGATGGTACATGGAGGGGATTATAATCAATGTAATGAAATAAGGTATATGATTTTTTGCATATAAAACTGATGATATGCCCTGTAAACTTTCACTCAATCCACAATGAAAACCTTAAATTAAAAAAAAAAAAAAAAAAAAAGAGTGTCCTTGGGGAGATGGAGATGTCCTCTCAGGGGCCAGCTGGAGGTAACTAACACATTATAAGATGCCCTTGTGGGTTTGAATCCGGGGTGGGGGGTTGTGCAGGAAGGGGTGGTCCCTGGCACCTCCACAATCATTATATCCATCACAGCCCACAGAGAAGCTCCTATCCTGGGAACCTGATGGAGACAGATGAGTCCTGATACACAAAGTCAGTAGTCCCAGAGAGGGATAATCTCATTTCAAAAACATAGTGTCATTCTGCCCAGCTAATAGGCATATATTCTTGCTTTGGAAAACATGCCCTTAGAAACTAGCAAGGACGAAGTGTTGTTTAGAGTGGAAAGGGTAAGGGTCTCACTCAAGAGAGGGGAACTTCCTGCCCTGCTACCAATGACTGTGAGGAATCAAAAGAGAAGCCCTGGCAGAGTCTAAATTTGGAGCTGAGGGGTTATTTTCCTCTGTACATGCCAGAGCCTGGGGCAAATTTTAGGCTTTAGGGTTTTTGTTGCTGTTTCTGCTTTGTGCCATCGAGTGGGTTCCGAAGCACAATGACCCTGAATAGGGTTTCCGAGGAGCGCCTGGGGAGTTTGAACAACCAACTTTACAGTTCAAACAGACCTTGAGGTTGAGCACTTATCCTATGTGCCACACCAGGACTCCTGTAGAGTTTATGGAAGCTAGAAAAGTCAGAAAAACTATTGAGTGTGATAATTGTTTAAAAACAATGGCAGAAAAGAAAAAAAAAGATAAAGAAATTTCTGGTCCAGAAAAAGATCAGGAAAAAGACATGGAGTGAAGAGATCCGACTGAGGCATCAGGCTACCTTCTGTAAGAAGGGGTTAAATTTCTCCTGGAATGGGCCCTTCCTGTACCGTGGATTCTATTCAAGCCAGCACCACCAACAGCAGCCTTCTTCTGGAACTTGCAGAGACGTAAAGGAGCCTTCTACATTCAGGCTAACACCCACTTCCCCGGAGCTGGCTCCCCGGATGAGAAGAGAAGGGGTCAGGTGCCCCAAGCGGGTCTCAATGCTGCCCTGCAGACCCTCGGCCGGCAGCCACAAGCAGCACTGGGAAGCCGTCCCACATTGAGTCTGAGTACGAATGTAGCGCTTGTAAACGCACCACAACCGGTAGAAAGATGAAGAAACCCAATTTAAGAACAGTTCAAAGGAATGGGGACCCGAGGGGCAGGGCAAGGGGTTGAGTCCTGTTGTGGCGCTGCAGGATAATACGCTGGATCGCAGGTGAGTCTGAACTGCAAGGTCGGCTGTTCAAGCCCACCAACCGCTCCTGGGAAACCCTATACAGGATCGCTATGAGTCGGAACTGACTCGGAGGCACTTAACAATTCTTAAGGGTTAGCGATCACCTGCGAAGAGTGCAAAGCTTGTGAGTCGTCTAGGCAAAATGGTGTTTTCCTGTCCCAGCGAAAGTTGGGACCCGAAGGTGGGACAGGTTCCTCCATCCCCCCAGTTGCGAACACCAAAGCGGCGCCCACAGTTCTCGGGCTTTCGGAACTGGTCCCCTGGGTTGCGCACTGCTAAGTAGCCCGGTAGCCAGGGATGAGGGTGAGAGGGCGGGCGGTGGCTAGGGCTCCTCCCTCCTCTGCCTGGGGTTCCCACTCTCTTAACCCGCGCGCGGGGGCGCCCGGTCACTGGGCTCTGCAGAGCGAGCAAGCGGTCAGCGCAGAGCCAAAGCCAGAGCCAGAGCCGCTAGCGTCCCGTCCTAAGGCCGACGCCAGCACGCCAGCATGGCCCCTGCAGCGGCGTCGGGTGGCAGTACCCTGCCCAGTGGTTTCGCGGTCCTCACCACCTTCCCCGACCTACTCTTCATCTTCGAGTTTGTGAGTAGCTCGCGCCGGTTTATGAACAGGGCAGAGTGAGCCGCGCGCTGCGCGCCCCCTAGAACACCACCAGAAACGCAAGCAGAATGAGCACTGTCCGGATGCGGGGGTTCGGGGTGGGAGGTTTAAAGGGGCTAAGACACGAAAAGGAGTTAGATAGAAAACCTAATTCAAAACACGGGTCAGATGCTAGAAACGGATGTCTGTTTTTTGCGCGTTGGTTCCCAATGCAGCGCCCATATCTGCTTTGCTTGGGCCTCATGGAGCAAGCCCATCTCTGCCCCGGCACTTTGCCTTGCTTGGAGAGTAACGTCCTGGGGTGGGGGTGAGGTATCCAGGTTTACCTGGAGATGGTCTTGCTTTCCAAAAATTCAGCAAAAATCTTGAGTATTGCTAACTGCGGTTTGGAGACTAGATGGATGTCATAGGAAGGGCTTAATCGGACAGTTTTCTTCTGGTCTTTTAAAGTTTCTAGCTAGTAAACATAAGGTGCTCTGGTAGCGTAGTGGTTACGAATCGGGCTGCGAACCGCAAAGGCAACACTTGGAAAATACCAGCTGCTCCGCGGGAGAAAGATGAGGCTTTATGCTCCTGTAAAGATTTACAGCCTTGGAAACCCTGTACAGACTCACTATGAGTCGGAAAAGACTCCACGGCACATAACAACAACATAGTAAACATATCTACTACAACTTTGATCTGGGAATGATAAAACACAGGTCATTGTTTTCTCTCCTGCAGTCATTCTGCCTTGTGTGTAGGGCAAGGAGTTGAGGAGGCTGGCAAGAGAGGTACCCATGCTCTAACTGCTCCAGCTGACCTTGAGCGGTAGGAAGGCTTTGGCACTGTGGTTTTTCTGGCCTGCGCTGTGCACCGCAAAGTAGCCACTTGTGACTGCGAGTAAACGGGTCCTACTGTGGCTTCCTGGCAAAGTCCTCCCTGTCGTGGGAGTCTTAGCCTAGTTCAGCCTTAACTACCTGGGCCATGGACGTTTCCAGGGGTGGAGGCTGCTTGTTTGTTCTGCGAATATGCCCCCAACCGTTTCATGAAGAGTTAATTGGGAAAGAAGGAAAAAAAAAAAAAAAATCAGAACTTAGCTGTTTAAATAACTGAGACCCCGGCTTCTTTCCTGATGGGAAGTGGGAGGTTGTGAACAGCAAAGGGATTAGAGAACTGGATTCACTTGGGTTCTGTGAAAGGTTTGGAAAAGGATTATCATTGAGCCCACACTTAGGTCAAATTCTGGGGATAGCTAGAGTCAAGGAATGACCTCTAGAAGAAATCTTGGAAACTGCTGAGCCTATCCCCACCATTTATAGATAGGGACATACGGGTCCAGCCACCCCTTTAGTCAGGTACTCTGTCTCCCTGTTAGGGTCCCTTCCATGTTCAAAGCTTCCAGCAAAAAACTAGAATAGTGGCCAACTGAATGTTTGACCCAAACACATGGCAGATCCAGTCCTTCTACCTCCCCCCAGCACACACAGTACTGGCCCATACCCCTGAGCCCTGTGGTAGCATCCTTTCCCCAAATGGCTCATCTGGGTGTTTCCATCAGCTCCTAGTGTGCGATTGCCCCAGGTTGGATTTCTGGCAATGAACATGCAATGTCCATAACCTGGGACTAGCTAATAATGGGTTGTTCCCTCAGAGCTTGTTGTACTTAAAAAGGCAGTTTCATGACTCAAAGAGATGATGTGATGGTACATAGAGATTTTTAAGCAAAAAAACCCGCAAATCTTCCTGGGTGTTTCTCAAACTTTCCTAACGATGGTTTACCCTGTCTGAGTAGCTATTTGGTGAGTGTAATCACAAGGATCATGGAGAGCAGGCATTAGCTGGGCTTCATACTTTTGCAGAGGATTCTGGTGTGCCCCTGCTTCTTGCCCTTGTGGGCAGGTGCCCCAGGACTGCTCTCAGAGGAGAAAGACTTCTCAATGCTGTCTGCCTCCTCTTAGCAGCACAGCCTAGGAGAAGCAGTGCTGTTGTGGTTAGGAATGGTCAAGATAGGCAGGACAATCTGCAAGGGCCATCCAATAGGAAGGGGTAGGAAAGTGTGGAAACCTCAGAGTCATGTCTCGCTACATATTTCTTAGTGGAAACTTGCTCTTCCAAGGCAGTTTTGTAACCTGAGGTAATAGAGATGTCTTCTAGAAGAAATCATTCTTCCTCACATGAAACATTTCTCTCAGAAGCTGTTTCACTGCTACCTCTGCCCTTGCCACCACCTCACCATCATCACTTCCTAAGAGGCCCTGGAGCTTGTCATCTCTGATACTCTTCTTCTCAAGATTGGGGGTGATAGGCTTACAGGGCACTTGGGAGAAAAGAATAAGTAGACAATCCTGTCTGCTTTCCTCTACATGGATTGTATATGAAAAACTGCACGTGGTCTTGATGGGGTGGGGGTGGGGGCACACGGAGAAAACACAGTTACTGTCCAGGATATACACATCTCAGCTTTCTCTGCTGTGACCATGTTGCCGTCCAAAGAGTTATTCCAATTTAGAGACCCCCCCTAGGAGCAAAGGAGCTCTGGTAGCGTAGTGGTTACGAATTGGGCTACGAACCGCAAGGTCAGCAGTTCGAAACTACCAGCTGTTCCACGGGAGAAAGAAGGGGCTTTCTGCTCCTGTAAAGATTTACAGCCTTGGAAACCCTGTACCGGGTCGCTATGAGTCTAAATCGACTCCACGGCACATAACAACAACAACAGGAGCACTGGACTGCAAACCACAAGATTGGCAGTTCAAACCCACCAGCTGCTCCTTAGAAAACCTATACAGGGTCGCTATGAGTTGGAACCGACTCCATGGCACTTAACAACAACAACAACAAAGGAACAGACTTGGAGTCCTGGTGTGGCACTGTAGGGTAAGCACTCAACTTCAAGGTCCATTTGAACTGCAAGGCTGGCAGTTCAAAGTCACCAGTTGCTCCTTGCAAACTCGTTATGAGTTGCAACAGACTAGACAGCACTTTACAACAACATGGAGCAGAGTTAGTGTGAAACTGGTGAAACTTACATGCTGGGCTCCCACCTGCTTGGTGTTATTGATAAGTACCGTGGAGTCGGTTCCGACTCATAGTGACCCAGCACAAGGTTTCCGAGGTTGTAAATCTTTACTGGAGCAGAACGCCTCATCTTTCTCCCGTGGAACCACTGGCAGTTTCGAATTGCTGACCTTGAGGTTGGCGACTCCACTCGTAACCACTATACTACCAGCTTGGGTCCCTTCAAAGATCCATCTTCATTTTGTATTCTTTCCTAAAGAAAGTCCTCCAAATTGCACAAGCCTCAGATTAAACCTGGACCTTCCCAATTCACAGTGGTGGCATATGAAAGTCCCCCTGATCCTCATCCTTGTCAGACTTGCTAGCACCAGAGTTTGTCATTTTCTGCTCATCTGGTGGGTGTGAAAGGCTTGATTGTTTCTTAAATCTTTAGTCTAGCAAGTTGGTGATTAGTCATAGCTCAGAATCTCATGTTTGACCTCTAAGAGCCTAGGAGGTGCCGATGTCAAACTCTCGGGCCTTACTTCCAAAGCTGGAAGGGTGGAGCTCCACTCCACTCCCAAGGCAGCGCTACTGCCCACTGATGCAGGGAAGGGTGGGAACTCAGGGTGGGGCATAGTAGCTTTACTCTGGCCCAATACTCCTAACCTAAGGAGCTCCGGTAGCATAGCAGTTACGAGTCGGGCTGCTAAACTCAAGATCAGCAGTTCAAACCTACCAGCTGTTCCACAGGAGAAAGATGAGGCTTTTAGCTCCCGTAAAGAGTCAGAACTGACTCCACGGCATATAACCATCACCACCAGTATTCCTAACCTATAGCTCCTGATCTCTGAAAGCTACAGGGTCCTCGCTGGAAGTAGAAAGAAAGCCCAACCCAGGTGATGTGTCCCCACCCTTCTGTGCACCCTCAGAGCCAGAGGCCAGGCTGCCGCTCCAGGTTCACTGATGCACCCTCATACAAAGCAGGGTTAAATGACTAATGCTCTCCTTGTCTCCAGCAAGTCCGCTCAGGACTCTCTTTGAGGCCTGTCCCCTGTCCTCCTCCCTTTGAAGCCAATTTATCACAAAACATGATGCTCACATGGAATACTCTGTTTTAGTTGTGGCCGGTGGTCCAAGAAGAGAAAACCCCTTTTTCAGGACTTGTTAAGAAAGTGTCTGAAGAATGGTTAAGATCACTAACCCAGCTTCCTCCTTTCCAACCTATACAAGTGGTGGGGCTGCTGCAAGAACAGTTGGGAATTAAGAGAGAAACTTTGGAAAAGGGAGTACCACCCACCTTTCCATGACAAGGGAACTTTAAGAGCTTGGGACACATGGAGAATCAGATCAGACTTTCTGGAACAGTGGACTGAGAGCCAGCACGTGTGGTGGTGGGGGTAGGATAGGGACCCACCTGAATTTTCAATTTTTACAGTGAACTGTACATAGAAAACAGCTGCTGTTGAGCTGATTCCAACCCGTGACCACCCTCTATGTCAGAGAATAACTGCACCAGAAGGTCTTCCATGGCTGATTTTTACCCCCCGAGGTAGATCTGTAGGCCTTTCTTCCAAGGTGCCTCTGGGTGGGCTTGAACTTCTAACCTTTCTAGTAGCAGCCCAGCACACGAAGCACTTGCACTGCTCAGGAACTTCAGTAAGATGGTTTCCATGACCAAAAGGGACCAGAACCTTTTTATTAATTGAACATGACCTGACAAGTCATGGAACCTGCCCTAGGTTTTCACAGACTGGAAAAGAGCTGACCCCGGAAGCCCAGGATTAGGCAGTGGAATGGGGTGGGATGGCATGAGAAGGCCATTTTCTGTTGGATGGTCCACATTCTGGGAACCATAAGAAGGAAAGTTCTACTGTCTTGCAGCAAGAGGACTCCTAAGAGACAAGCAGCATAGAACCACAGAACCCTAATTTCTCAGAGCTGGGAAGAAACTGAGGCTTGGAGACAGAAGGCAAATTGTGTAGGGAACCCAGTCTCAGTGTTCC